TAATAATGATGTTGGTGATCAAAATGATTGAATGAATAAGAAAGAGAATGTAGAGGGAGGGGTGAAATATTGTAAATTTATTATATTATATTATATTATATTTTTGTCAAATATTAATTATACTATTATTATTATTCATTATTTTAGAAAAAGAGAATAAATAAATATTTAAGTCTTTATATATATATAGTATATAGTATATAGTATATAATTTATTATTGAAATATCATCTATCTAAAAATAAAATAATTTATGACAATCATTTGAAATTTTAGATCAAATTTTATTGTAACAATAAAATGTTACAAGCTCAAGAAATCTTTATATTTATCTTATCCCAAAATTTTTTAATAATATTTGAAAATTTTCTGCCAATTATAAAAGGATCAGCAATTAATGTGTACACGTCGATCAAATAACAATCCTTTTTTTCTTTTTTAAAAATGGCATCAAAAAACCTAAAGAAAAGTGGAAAAAGAAATAGCTGTTATTTCTGGGTAAGTGTTTTAAGGATGGTGGTGGTGGTTATTTCCACTTGTTGTCACACTAGTTATTTATTGAAATAATGATGATGATAGTTGTTTGCAACTCGTCATCATTCTAGTTTGTTTTTTTTTTGGTAAAAAGTGATTTTGAATTAATGATAATTGATTTGTATATTATTTTTAGTAGCAAAAAAAGCAGATGGGATGTGGTGTGTTTGTCTACAAAATCAGGAAAGAGCAGATGGGATCTGGTTACAAAAGTTCATGACCCCCTTGAAGCAGCAATAAGAGAATATGAAAGTTGTTTACCTGCTATAATAAGAAAAAATATTATGTATTGGTAAGTGGCAAGGGCTCCCTCAATAATGGTTCATCATGTGTTGTCAAAAAAGTCAAATGAAATGGCAGCTCTGATGGTACCATGTATGCTGCAAAGATCATAGAAGTCAATATATTCAATGATTACAATATCCCCAAGTACACACCCCTACAAAAAGTATCAACTCACTTGATGATCTGTCAAAATAATCAAATAAACGGGTAATACAAATACTTGTTTTTTTACTAAGCAAATCGATGTTGTGTATTAGTAAGAAAATGTTTGTTGAAATGACCATAACACTCTAAAATATCACATTGGGCTAATTGTTATTGATAATTTTATGATTTTAAAAGTCAAATTAAAATTTTTTGAAAATTTTTTTGTTCTCAAATGTATATATATACACATTCATAATTATTGATTGAATATTCATGGAGCATTAATACAAAATGTAAAATAATGAAAAAATTATCATCAACAGTTTGTATAATATTTTTACATAATAAATCTTTATTAAATTTATATCAAAAGTATCAAAAAAGTATAAATATTTCATTCATTTATTCAATATTTTGTCAGGTTTCCTTTTGATTCAATTACAGCTTGGACCCTTCAAGGAATGCTGTCTACTAATTTTTGCAAATAATCACAATCAAGATTTACCCATTAATCCATTAAATAAGAAATTAATTCATTTGTATTTTTTTGGGGAGCAATAGTAGTTTGATCTTAAATGCTTTTATTGCATGAGTTACTTGTGACTGAGAATGATTGAGTGCACCAGCAATGTCACAAACGCTTTCATCTGCTTCCCAATGTCCAATTATTCAAAGTCTGTTAATTGAGACATGATGTTTTAATTGAAATAACAAATTGAAAGTTCAATCTTTTTTTTTTTAAAAAAATCTAGTTTTGGTTAGATATTTCAGCCGTATTTGCCCTTTAAAGTTTGTTCACGCATAATGATAATTGTCTTGCATAAAAAATTCATTACGATTTTTTTTACGTTTTGTATTAATGCTCCATGAATATTCGATCAATAATTATGAACATGTATATATATACATTTGAGACTAAACGGAGCAACATTTTCTAAGTTCCCAAGATGTGTTAAAACATCGTATCTTAAAATAGCTCTAAGTGCTACTTTTTCAAAAAATTTTCAAAAAATTTTAATTTGACTTTTAAACATCATATAATTATCAATAACAATCGGCCGAATGTGATATTTTAGATTATCATGTTAATCATTTCAACAAACATTTTCTTACTAATACACAGCATCGATTTGCTTAGTAAAAAAAAACGAGTATTTGTATTACCCGTTTATTCGATTATTTTGGCGGATCATTGAGTCGATACTTTTTGTTGGGGTGTGTATTATTAAAGCTTTCGTTACACGATGTGTGTAATTTGATTGGCTGAAAATATTCACAATTCATCTTTGATCTCTTAAAAAATTTTTTCTGAAAAAATGTTTAATAAATATTTTTCAACCATCAATTCAACAATATCTAAACATCCGATTTCAATTTCAAAATTTCAAAAAACAATAACAATAACTTCAAGATATTTATATAATAGTAGTAAATTACTAGACGACTTTAACAACAATAATTCCAATGAAACATTACCACCACCATCATCGTCACCAGATAATGAAAAAATTACGATTTCTACTGAAAGCGAAAAGAACCAACAACAAACAAAATCAGAACCAGAAGCCTTAGAATCTTTATTGTTTCCTTCCGCCTCTTCCCCTTCACCAGCTTCACCCGTCTCATTTTCAAGTATACTTAAAGAACGTAGTAAATTAAGCAATAATATGATAACAATAAAATCAAACCCACCCCCTTCTTCCATGTTAAGGCAATGGGATAAAGTACCAGGAAATTTGACAAATTCCAACACCAGAAGAGTTCTTAATCCAGGCATGATGGCAACAAGTCGTTTCATAAGGATCGATGGATTAGCAAATACTGTAATCACTAATGATATTTTGTTTTTGTCAAAAGAAGTAAATGGTGATCAAAAAAGTATTGATGATGGTAAGATATTTATTTACTTATTATTTAGATTATAATTATAGGTTAATTTCATGTTATTAATGAGTCACTTAATATATCAATCAAAGTTTTAATGCTTCGTGATCGCGTTTTCAATCTCACTGGATCAGCAATTGTTCAATTCAGAAATACTACATTTGCAAAAAATTTTTATATGTATGCACCGACTAAATTTTTAAGTAGTGGAGGTCAATTGAAAATGAATTTTATTGTATGTAAATTAAAAGTTAAAAAACTTGCCATATTATTATGATTATTATAAATAATGATTATTATAATTACAGTTGAAAGCACAAGACTTTGGTTATGAGGAAATGCTTAATGAATGGAAAATGTATAAAAAAAGTACTGTTATGAACTTTGGTCCAAGTCAAGGAAAAAGTGTCATAATTACAGGAACTCCAAGGGATGTTGGTTCGAGAATTATATCAAAATTTTTATCTGATTTTCCTTCACTTAGGAATCAAGAATATATTTTTCCTTTACCAAAGTAAGTCTTCATTGTTAATAATTAATTTTTTTAATGGATTTATTTTATTTTGAATTAATTGTTGTTTTACAAAAACCAAATTTTAGTTCAAAATACTCAGTTACCTCGAAATTTCTTGTTAAATTAAATGATACAAATGATGCATATCGTATTGCAAGACTGTTTAATAATACCTATTTTTTCCCAGGACATTATGGTGAAAAATATAAAATAAAGATTTCTGTGGCATATTAAAAGAATATATTTGGTTTTAAATTAAATGTTAATAAATATTTCCAAGTTATATAAAATAATTCTTTTCTTTTTTTTATATCAATATAAGATCATCCGATCATTCTCACAAATCAATCTTGTCTTGTGTTATATATGCACATATGTAAAATATAAGGGGACACAAATAAAATTTAGGTTCTCACCACCCGCTGGGCGGAATTTGTAAAATTCCCAAAAAAAATTTGATGTCACATGACATGAGTTTTTAAATTTTTTGTCCTTTTTCTTTCTTGTAACAATTAATTTCACAGTCATTTAAGTTGTACTTACTGGTGATTCCTTAAATTAGATGAATAACATGGAACTTTCATCGGACTATTACAAGTTAATGAGTCATTAACCTTAACTTTCTTTATAATCTCTAAAACATCATCATCGTTAGAAACATCATTGTCATTTTTTCAAATAATTCTGACTGGTTTTCAATTGATTCGTCATAATCTGAAAATAATGGATCATTTTCACTATCTTCTTCCAACTCAGTAAAGCACCTTTTCATATTAGAATTAGATGAACTATTGTTGTTAAATGATGAAACTTCATCAATTTTATTTGCATTATTTGCAATCACGTTTTCAGAATCAGGTTTTGAAAAAAAAACAAAGAATCTTCTAAAGTTTGTTTATGATAAATTGGAAACCCTTCCCAACCAAATTTAATTTCTTTGCCATGTTTAATCAGTACATTAACCATTGCATTATATAGTTATGTGTATTATATATATTTGATATGTTTTACGAAGTACAGTAGTAAAAATTACGCGCTCAAAAAATATAGGACTTGTGAATCATATTTGGCCAATAAAAACTAGAATTTTTATTATATAGTTGGCTTGGTCTAAAGACCTCCTAAATTTTGTGCAAATTTTAAAAGTATAGAAGTCATTTTCTGCCCTACCTTTTAAAAAAATAGCTCTATTAGTTGATGGAATAGGTCTTTAATTTTAATGTAATAAAGAGATTTTATCAAAAAAATTATTTGTTGTAGAGTTCTATTCTTTTTTAAAACATGTACTTTACTATGCTCATGAAGAATTTGAGCGCTAGGATCATTGCTAAATTTAGACTAGTTTTAGTTCATCGTTACTAAATTTAGACTAATACTCGACAATCATGTCTAAATTTGGCAGGAAGGAAAATAAATTTTTTAACCAAAATCACGTGAAGCCTTTTTGAAAAGTTTTTATTGCATTTTTGAACGAATCATGAAATCGCAATTTTTGAAATTTGAGCGTGTGGCGCAGCAATAGGAGGTCTTTAGACCGAGCCAACCATATATGTCAGAACGCCAACACGTGATTAATTGGACAATTGCTATAATTTTTTTGGCGCGTTTTTTCTCAATAATTTTAATTAACATTAACAATGGAAGTCACTCTTCGCGTAACAGATAATTATGAACCAGATCAATACTTACTTGTCGAATTTACTGATGAAATTGATGATATTTTTGAAAAAGCACGTCTAAATAGTGAAGAGTTACCAAAGTATTTACATCAATATTAATAGAAATAAAAAAAAGTTGAAGTATGCATGTTAAATTATATTTATCTACATATATTTATGTATTTATTTTTTAGATTATGCATAAAGGCTCAATCATTAGATGAGGAGCCAGTATTTTGTACACCAGATAAAACATTTTCAATTAAAAAAAAAGAATATACAGATTCTATGTGTTTATTTGTTCCTCAACCTGTTAAAAAACATGAAGGATCAAAGATGGATATAGATGAAGATTTTAATATAGTTAGTGTTGAAAGTAATAATAATACAGATTTTAGTAGAAAGAGTGAACTGTTACATAAACGAGAAGAAATATTAATGAAAAGACCAGAATTTATATTAGAAATGGTTGAGAAACGTAAATTTGTTGTGGAATTAATTCAACAACCACCAGAACTTGAGGTTTTAAATAAATTATTGAAACCTACTACTTATACTGGGCCTGAAAATGAAGAACACATTAAGAAAGTATGTAATAATTTGTTTATTATTTTGATCATTATAATTTTTTGAAAAATTTTAAAAAAATAAATATAATTTTGATTGTAGAAGTATAAACTTTACACGTTAGATGAATTAGATGGTATTATAAAAGCAAGTGTTGGAGAAATATTATGTACATTTGAAAGAAAATATGCCTTAGAAATCGATGGTAATTTTTTCTCATTCATATTTTGGATTATGAGAAGTTTTAATATTTAAAAATATTATATAATACCGTTATGTTAAAGGATATTGGAGATATGTAGATCTAGAATATTTACTTCAATTATATGAAGCAATAAATTTACAGGCTGGAATTTATCTAGGAAATTTTGAAGTTATCAAATTATCTGAAATTTCAAAAATTATAAGTGATTATGGATTTCCTGATTTTTTGATAAGACATTGTCTTTCAATGTTATCAGAATCAAAATGTGAAAATGAATTAGGTGAGA